GGGGGCGGTTTTTGCTTGGGGGGAGAGTCCCCCTCCCTACAGGAAGCCACGACCACGTGTCACGGGAGGGAAAATAGCCGCAGATCCTGTTCGTCACCCGATCCGGCGTTCGCGAACAGAGACAAAATTTTGCAAATGGAGCTGTTCATGACCCGAATTGGTCGTGAACAGAAGCGTTCGTGACCCGAGGTACCACTGTATCTTTGGTGGCTTGGAGCTGTATGTTTTGTGAAAGATTGGGGCTTGCTCTAGTATCAAAAGGGGCTTATATCAAAGTGTTGTCCTATGGATCTCTTACAATCATTTTCCCTGTTCATTGTCCCTCCCCCCCCCCATTCACCAGTTCATATACATTGGTAGGAGAGAGAATGATGGTTTTAAGTTCTTATTTTATAGATGTATGTGTGGAAGGGGGGGAGAATCTCTGCTGCTAGAAAATATGGCTGTAATTTCTTCTCCGTACAATAATCTAGAATTACTTAATCTGCGTGGTGATACTAGACAAGAAGGTATGTCCTAGACAACACTAAAACAAAACATAAACCAAAGTAAAAATTATCCATTTTAGGATAAATGTTAGCTCAGGTTGAGAACTTTTTATAAAAATCTGGGAATAGCACGTGGTCTTTTTGTTTATTAAAATAAGCAAACTGAGTTGTTTGTTTTTATTAGAGCGTGTTTTGGGTTGGGTCTGTATATACCATAAGTCAATACGCACAACTTAAAACTAGGGTTTACATAATGACAATTCCACATGAAATATTTTATATTAGTTAGTCATCTGGCTAATCCTTTAAAAATGAGTATTTGGCCATAAGATATCTTCCTAAAATTTGAGAGTATAGTGTTTCAAAGAGGCATTTTTCTTCTCCTTAGCTAAAAGTTAAAAAAAAAAAAAAAGTTAAAAATAATTGTTGTGGTTCTTTACTAAACAAACAACAAAAATAGAGGGTTTAACAAAAGATAAACACATAACTTTTAAGCAAATAAAAAGGAAAAGAAATTTGAAAATGTGTGTACATATTAGTACTTGCATACATTTTAAGGAAAAATGCAAATATTTTAAGCTTCCTATTCAGAATGATACATTACAAATGTTGTTCATTTAACTAAGGCATGGTGGCCATATTTGAATGAATTTCAAAGCTCTTTATTGTATTAATACTCATTGAAAAGTGTTTTCCATACACTGAAATACAGTTGATTCAAAGAAAGGAATGCTTCAGTTTTCCAGTATTTTGGAATAACAAAGCTACTGGCTAATAACCGGAAATTAATCAGTTCCTTACATTGAATTGATTTATAGGCCTTAGGAATATGGACAGTAAATCAACCACAGATTTCATTGTCAAAGATTGTTCTGTGATTTTCCTTATTTCTTCTAAAATCTTTGACCAAAGTGACACACTAACTGGGCATTGCCACAAAAAACAGCATTCTGTACCACCTTTGTTTGCAACTCACCAATACCATCTCAAAAGTATGGAAATTACAATGTACTTTTAGTGGTATACGGTGCCGCCTATAGAATTTTCCGCTTCCGTTCTTGATGCCTTACAGAAATACAATTAACCGTTTTTACCTGATTTGAAATTCCTTTTGCAAAAAACAGCTTTTAACTAATTCAACTTGAAAAAGGCTTGACTGAAGAATATCATTACTCTTTGCTTATGCACAAAAAGGAGAAGAACCGAATGCAGCTTCTGAGAAAGCACATTCCTTACATTGTGCACAATATAGGAGAATACCCTCCATCAAACAAACCACAGAGAATGAGGGTATCTTTATGAAGCCGTCGTCTGTTGTCCTTAATTTCTAAATAGAATCATATTCAAATAGATAGTCCTTTAGATAGCCAGATTCCAAGCTTTAAAAGTTAAAACCAACACTTCAAAGTATGTCTGGAGAATAGTGAGAAATCATTACAGGTTTTTCAACAGGTGTGTAATATGCTCCTTATATTGTGCATAAATGACATTGGTGACTTGGCATTGATATGAAAACAGCAGACTGTTATATTGTGTTTCGGATGGCAGATACTGGGAGGGATTTTATATACCAGTAAAACTGTTACGGTGGTGGACGTCTTAACACTAAAGAGAGTACTGTTTATCACTTTCTGCACAGATTCCTTAGATGTCTTTGCAAGTACATGTAACAACGTGCCTTAAGTTTTCTCTAACTATTCTAAATTTGAACAATTTTTTTTTTGCTTTCCTAAATTCATTAACTGTACTTCCTTTTAGCATTTCTGTATATCCAAAATGTATCTTTGTAATGTCAGTAATCTTTCAATCATTGCTTTAACTTGCATCTTGCCTTCTTTTTTTTCTCCCCCTTATCAGTTCTCAGATTACTTTACTGGCTATTTCAATGGACAGTACTGGCTTTGGTGGATATTTCTTGTACTTGGTAAGTGCTGATCAAAAGCTTTAAATTTTAATTCCATATAAAATCCAAAGCCATTTTTTTTCAAAAGAGTGTCTGTATTATGAATGGGTGTGTGTGTATATATTTATCTGTATCAAGAGTGGATCTACGTAACTGGCCGAAAGGTCTGCTGCAAACCAATACTATAAGTAGAATTTTTATAGTGTGGTAAAATGTCTGAGAATTCCACTTTGGAGGACTTGCTTTCCATGCTGAAAGTGCAATACTCTGGGTGACTCAAGGTTTTGTAGTCTCCGTGGTAGTTATAGAATGATCTGAAGCTGTCTTTAGGCTGTGTGGAATACATTCTTGACTTAATTTTTGTATGCCTGGAAATGGGAGTTCAAAAGCAGAGGTGTGACTACTCCTTAAAACACTTTCTCTGGATCCAGAAGCTTATGATAACTATCACACACCTATGATTACCAACTTTTGTGGGCAAGGTGTTGGAGAAGTAGTGTCAATGCAGTACTGCAGTACTGCAGCTGTTCTTAGCAGAAACATTATTTTGATCTATTCTAATCCAGATTCAAGCCTGGAAGATCTTGTTTCGGTGCTTGTTCTCACAGCATTCTTCTGAATCATCTCCATGAGATGTTGATTGGAGGCACCATTCTGTAATGGTTTCATTGCTACTTACAAGTATAATTTCAGAGAGTAGTAACTACCTTGGCATCCTGTGGATGCTGTGCAGCAATGTCTTATAGCAGATACCTTTTAACATTTATATGAAGAAACCATGTGCAATCATTAGGAGTTTGAGATTAGCTGTCATGAGTATGTTTATGATACTCAGCTGTACCATAACACTGGAATCAGGAAAACGTCTTTTCATGTCTAAGGTGAGTGCCTGGATGTAATAATGGATTGAGCACCAATAGATTGATGCTGAATCCCCAAAAGATGGAGATCTTATGGGTGCATGCTCCCCAGGTATAGAACTTGGGGAATTTGACTGTTCTGAATGGGATTACATTTCCTCAGAAGAAACATTATTTAGTTTGGAGGTACTCCTAAAGTCGTCATTTTATTAGAGCATCAAGTAATCTCTTTGGCTAGAAAAGGCTGTTAGTAGTTTAGTATGGTTTACCAGCTACATCCTTACCTAGATAAGGATGCTCTAGCTAACATTGTTCATGTACTAGTAACCTCATATTGGATTACTGCAATGCACAGTATGCATGGCTATCCTTATATTTGATTTGATTTAGCAGCTGCAATTGGTAAAACACAGTGGCCAAATTCCTTAGAGAGTCACCAGCCATGCAATATACCTGTGGTGAAGGAACTACACTGGCTGCTAATAAGCTACTGGCCCAGCTCAAGGTTTTATAATTGGGGTGTAAAGTCGTAAACAATTTGGAACCAGGTTGCCTTGTAGAATACCCTCCTGATGACATACTTCTTTGATTATTAAGAACAGAAGGAAAGTTCTACTGTAGATGCCAAGAATTGTAGATTGTCATCTTTGGGCTACTTGAGGTGAGCTTTCTTAGTGGTGGGACCTTTCCTTTGCTGTCTTCCATATTATCTCAAGAACACCTCCTATTATATTAAGTTTCTTCTGAAATCCATCTTGTAACTTGCTAGGGACAGGTTTTGTTTTTATTTTTTTTCTTTCCCATCTGTTTCTAATATATATGTTTTAACAGTTGGATTGTAATCCATTTAGAGCTACTTTATGAAAAGCAATATACACCCACTCCTCATTTAGTGACCAGGTTCTGTTTCAATGATGAAGTGGTTGCTGAGCGAACATATAAAGGGGGGGGGGGGGAGAGAGAGAGAGAGAGAGAGAGAGAGACCTGTGAAGGTTACTGGTTGCTGTTGTTCAGATGAAGTTCTCTCATACAGCTATGCCAGTGTTACTCTCACTCTGGTGTGCATTGTTGTCAGGCACACAAAATTTGGTTGTGAATGCATACATTGGTCGGAAAATGAATTTTTTATTGCAATCATATTTGTGAATGGTTTCTAACCAAGGTAGCTGCTAAACAAGGAGTGGATGTATAAATCTTTAAATAAATATTACTTATTTTTATACAGTTATCAAAAGTGATTTTTCACATATTCAGGTATGAGCTATCAGCATGTGCAAAATAATCCTTTAATACAAAATGTGAACCATGAAATATTTAATTCTTTTTAAAAAATTAACATGTTTATGCTAAAATTTTTATTCCATGTGTATCATCAAAACTCTTATTTGAATTTTAATTAATATTTATGGCTTTCATTGTTATTATATGTTTGACTATCTTCCTTTGATTATGATCTTAGTTAGAAACTGTGTTGAGGTTAGATTTTTTTTTTCTGAATGGCTTGATGCTTTTTTATTGTCCTGACATCTTTTTAATTGAATTCATTGTATCTAAAATATATGATGACCAACAGTTAAACAATTTCAGATATTAAACTTTGAAATTAATTAATTCAAATTAATTAATTTTATCTTGGTTACTTCCCAGTGCTTAAACTCTGAAATTAAATGTGTACTGTTGTATATGGGTTGTTCAGTCTTAATATCTTTATGTAAGGACTGCATGAAAAACTCTTGCGCACAGTCCAGAAATATACCATTTTGATGAAATTGGATGCCACTGAGAGGGCATTAGGGCCAAGAGGGGCACACGCCACTCATCCAGGTTCCAACAAGGGTCAACCACCAGAGTCACCAATGCTATTTCCATATCATGGCCAGACCTGAACCTTGACTGAAAGGGGTCCAGATAACCTCCTTCCCCCACTACTTTCTAAACAACCATCCCTATAAAAAAGAGGGCTGGGAAGATGGCGATAGTTGTCTAAAGTCTGGGGAGTTTTTTTTCTGAAGGAGCTGAACCATTGCCTCCTTAAAGATAGCAGGTACAACCTCTTCCATTATGGGAAAGGATATTGATTGATTTTAATTTCACAATGAAAATTAGGTTTTTCTCCTCTCATTTGTTTTCTAAGAGCACCGCTGTTTGGATGAAAAATTCTGGTTCCTGGAATTAAATCTTTAATTATAAAATAACATACCACAAGTAGTTAATTAAATGCAAATCAGATCACTTTATTTCATCACTGGTCTAATTACTAAAGTATTTGTTTCAAACTTTTCAGAAAATTACTTCATTTTTAGAGATTTTTAAGAATGACTAAACTTTACTGAACAGGACCTTTCACCTTTCATCTGAATTGTTATCGTCTTTAACTCCTCTTGTCCTTCCCACTTGGAGAACATCCTTTCATTTCATTTTCCACGATTCTTTGATGGAACTCTAAGTGTATTAGTACCTAAGTGTAAAATGGCAGGCTATATGTCTATCGTCTTTATTTGATATTTATAGTGTCCTGTTACAAATTCATGTTTTTAAATAATCCATACCCCGTTTCTGGTTTTAGGCCTCCTTCTATTTTTCCGAGGTTTTGTTAATTATCTGAAAGTCAGAAATATGTCTGAGACTATGGCAGCTGCTCATAGAACAAGATTTTTCTTCTTGTATTAGAGGTAAGCACTGTTGTTCCCTTTATAAGTAAATACTTAAAATGCATCTGAAGGAAAACATTAACACTGAATTGAAAGGGATGTTTTCATGCTGAACATCAGGAAAAAAAAAAGGTACTGATAAATGAACATTGTCCTTATTTGCTTAAAAATTCTCATCCTTGATTTTTCAAGCGTACTTTGGCAATACCCCCACCACCACCACCCCCAAAAATTCTCCTAAATATATTCATCAGTAGGAGTTAGGTTTTCCATAGTAGTAGGTTCTCATTCATTTTTATGTTATAGTCCTTCATTTTAATTTATCATATCTGCCTATAGTCTAGGCATGCTCTGTTCAAGTGGATGCAGAGATGAATGCCTATATGACTATTTTACATTTTAATGTTTTTATTACAGTAAAGGCTGTTGTGGAAAAGAAAGTTGGTAGCATGTGCAATTTGTGGTTTTTCTGTTGGGTTCACACACAGAAATAGGACTTGATTTTTTCCCCTAGTTGTTACAAGGGATTGTAGCATCCTGCATACAATCTCTTTCATATTTTCATAGTGAGAGTAAATCAGACTCTTAAAATATCCTTTTAATATCTGAAAAGTTTAAAGTATGTATCTTATAATCATATCACAAAGAAGGTAATGAGTTTTAATTGATGGATAGTTCTAAGAGTTTAATTTATTCATTATAAAAGTGTTTACATATTCTTACAGATTTCAGAGCATTTGACATTTAAGGTCCTGATACACAGTAATACAAATTAATCCATTATTATTATTATTATTATTATTATTATTATTATTATTATTCACTTATTTCAAACCTGTGATGCATGTATTATAGGCTGAAAACAGCTTTAATAAATGTAAACTAGAAATTGTGTGGCCAGAGTGAGATTTGAAGCACATTATTCTCAGCTTATTACTAGTTCTCACAATGGCCATGGCTCATTGGTTTTTATTTCATATCAAAATAGTGGTTATTCTAAACTCTTTCTCTTTTATTTCTGCCCAAACATGATCATAACTTTAGTGACATTTAAATGTATGGTGTCTTAACAAATTAAATAATCAACTTAGATGATTCTCCCAAGGAGCTTAAATCCTATAATGGGGGAGAGAAAAGCAAAGAGGAGAGATAAGAAAGGGACAAATGCTGTTACATATCCTTAAGGCTTGGTTATAATTGGAGATTGAGAAGATAAACCAAAGATTGTATGGAAAACTTTGGTTATAAGAGGAAATGAAGAAAAGGCTGAGGTTAGCATACCACGTACATACTCAAGGTTATAGTTCAACTGGAAGTTGTATCAAGATAAAAAGGGCAGTTAGTTAAGGTCACAGAAGACCTTCAGTTGGCTACAGTTGTAAAACTGGAGATCAGTTGAAGGAACAGAGAAAAACCATGGATAAACTTACCAAACGTAACAGTTATCAGTGTTTAAAATTAATTTATTTTCCTATCAATTATTAGCTAAGAGGATATTGATGATAAAAATTGTAGTCCACCAATTTATCATGGTTTTACATTCATTAATTACAGTGAACTTTTTAAAGTTATTGTAATAGCCAATATTGTGACACCAGCCTTCAAAGTACTTCATGGTGTAGATAAAAATGAACATTGCAATATAAATGCATTACAAAAAAATTAAAAGCATGCATATACTTCTAGATGCCAAAGAGCACTTAGCATTTTAAGGAACACTTAGCATTTTAATGCTAGAGGCTTGTTTAAACAGAGGGATTTGTGGAACTTTGGAAAAGTCTGCAAAATTCCTCATGCCTGATAGATGGATGTTCCAGTTGAGCTGCTGCTGAAAACTCTTACTATGGTACTAACTGATCAAGCTTCTGATGGTGTTGGTATTTCCAAAAGAGATTTTTTTTTTTAATTCATGTATTTTAACACTCACAGAAGTACAAGTAGAGCATGAAAAACATACAGCTCTTTGATTTGTAGACCTGGTGAAGTAGTCTCTAATTTCCTGAAATAGCTTCCAGCTTCTTTGTGTATATTTGACAATTTGCATAATAAAGTAGCATCTTTAATTACTACAATGTATGACAACATGTATGGATGTTGTCCATATTAATTGAGCTGCATATTAAGAACTTCTTGTGTATCCACTCAGTCCAGTTTATGTATACTGAAATATAACTCTTCCTTTTTCATTCGCAGACTGCACCAACCAGACATTCCTTTCTCTTACCAATGTGAACTTCCAGCCAATCTGTTACCTTCCAAGTGAATAGGGAAAGATGACTACTATATCTGAAGCAGGATCCTTTTTGCCGCTTAGTGAATGACAGAGTGGTTTATGCTTAAGTGCCAGTTCTGTTCATTCTAGTAAATATTTATATTAAGCATTGCCTTTTGTCTTGCACATATATACATAAATATATGTGCTAATCAGCAAGAACTTTAAAAAGAATAAAGTCCATGCATATAGTCTGCTAAGCAGCTGAATACAGTTAGACTTAACTAAATCGTGTTTGAATCTGGAATATTTTTAAGGGGTAACCGTTTTTCACAGTATTATGTACTATCCATTTGTTGGTCTAATGGTTTGTTGGATGCAGACAACTTGTACGAAATGGTAAACTGTTCGGGACTCTTCTGGGATGTACATTACATAAATCCATTTATGCACATGGAACATTTTTATCATACAATTTGTAGCTCTATAAATCCATGTTGAAAAGCTTTCTACTGAGGGTTGAACAAGGTTGTCCCAGTACACCTTTTTTGTAGTGGTTCAATTGTATAAACTAGCCTCTTCATAGATGTTGGCAATAGGATGGCGTAAGGTATATTGGACTTTTAAATCACTGCCATTTTGAAATCCGGTAGGAGCTGATTCTTGAAGAAAGCGTTAAGCTACAGATATTGTACAGTTTAATAAATACTGGTTTGGTTCTTGTGTTATGAGAACACAGTGGTTGCTGCTGTCCTGCGACCATCTTACATAATGCAGGAAACCAGAGAACAAATAGAAGTGAAATCACAAGGGAGTGACTGCATCTGATTCAGTCTCATTCAGTTTGAGAAAAGTTCTATTCTTTAGTTCTTCCCACACTATTTATGCATTTTTGCCTTGACAGAGAAACATGGGCTTAAGCCCCATTGGAATACTAGCTGTTCAGGTTACAGATATTTGGGGGAAAGAGGTATGCAGATTACAGCTCTTCTCATAAATTGAGCTGCATATGGGTAATTCAGCCAGATAATTTGATTAATATAAGCCCCCACAAGAAAGCTTTAAACATACATCTATAATGCTATAAGAATTAATATGTGGGTCTGAACAAGTATATATTCTAAGTGCATGACTGAAGGATGAATTTGGATCCCATTTCTGAGGAAAAATCTAAATTCATTCTCATGTTTATCATCTCATTAGGTTTAGCATAAAGAGTTGCTAGCCTGATTCTGCATTTTTCTTGCTAAATATATCTCTGCCTTACTGTTTCCCATCCTCCTAGTGTCATAATGTACAACTGAAGAATAGGAATGTATGTTCTTTAAGCATTCCAGCCAGTCTTCTTTTGGCAAAGGAAAGATATAAGGGAGATCTGCACCATTCCCAGTTGAAAGGACAATGTAGTTTTTCAACATGGAATATCATTTTGCATTGTAGTTAGGCTGTGTGAAGACATTTACATAATTATTTAAAGAATAGCCCAAGCAGCTTTAAAAAGTTGTTCTGTTTTTCATGCCAATGAAGTTCAGCTTAGGTTAATTCTCAAAAGGTGCTCTTTCTTTCTTTCTTTCTTTCTTTCTTTCTTTCTTTCTTTCTTTCTTTCTTTCTTTCTTTCTTCCTTCCTTCCTTCCTTCCTTCCTTCCTTCCTTCCTTCCTTCCTTCCTTTTTTTCTGATTGCAGAAATGTAAGCAATTTAGTGCTTATGATATTCACATACAATAATGTTTCTTTTGAATTAACATATATCTAGGGCTTCATGGGAAGGCAGTGGGAATAAATGTATTTATACCTTCCTTAAGCATCTCTGGGACTAGCACTCTGGTATGGAGAGAGATGAACTCTCATGGTTGTAACAAGACTCATCTCTGTTTCCTGCCAAACACTAATCACTCTGTGTTTTTGGAGTGGGAAATGCACCTTTATTTCTTAATTTGAAATCTTGCACTCTTACATTTTCATATAACATATAGGGGAAGTATGTGTTGCCTCCTTTAGTTCTGTATTAACTTTTGTACCCATTGTATGCATAAGGTTGACAATTTATATTCTTTAATATTTTAGCATTATTTTAAAAATGCTAGGATTGGAGAGCAATGCCCATTCCTGCTTTGAATGAAAACAAAATTCTGTTAAAAGTTCCTATGTATTTTTTTTCTGAATTCTTCAGTATTCTTCCTTCCTTCCCATTCCCTCCTCTGCATAATTTTTTTTTAATTTTTATTTTATTGGGGTTTTGGAATAAAGGCTTCCAGTTTTTACATTAAAAAAAACTTTTCTACACCTTTTTATGTAAACAAAAGCTGAACACTTTCTCCTTCAGTCCTTCTTGGCAATTTCATGTGACAATTTTGTTTCAGTTCGAAGCAGTTACTGGAGTAATGCATTGGTAAAAAAGATTTAATGTTCTCTTACATACCATGTTTTCATATTAAATTACACATACACCCTAGCTAGCAAAAGATACAGGTCTTATATAAAAGGAGAATTTAGTCATTGCCTGTATATATGGAGATAAATCATTTTGTGATAAACCTTTAGGTTTATATGTACAGTACAGTAGTAGAACGGGAACAGTAAACATGGCGGGAATGTGAACAGTGAAGCAATTTTCTATCACTACAGTTACGTCTTCCGATAGGCAGTTAAGAATGCAAAATTATGTTCATATCTACTTTGCATCCCTGAAACTGAAATCACATTTTTCTGTAAAAGAATAGCTCCAGCCACTTTTTAAAGCCTATGAGTCATGCAGTAGTGTTGTTGGAGTTTTGAATCTTCAATCTGAGAGTGAATTTATTTTAAAGCAAATATATTTAATTTCTCAGAAAAACAAAACAAAAAACAATACTGTACTACTAAGGCAGTATGTTGTCTTTGCAAGAAGCAACATAAATGTCCATGCTGTTTGGTAGTACTATAAATAATAATTTGCCACAAGATTGTGTGATTTATGTCAAATTTATGATGATTGGATATTCTTTCCAACAATTATTTCTCTTATGAAGGCTAATAAAAGACAATGGATTTGGTTTTAGGATATTTTAAGAATAGATTTTAACAAGTTTATTTTAAAAATGGATTAAATTTAAAACAGGCATTTAATAGAACAGCAACATTACACAAATATGTAAACCTGATCTTTCTCTAGTTTTCATGACTTTCATCCATTTGTAGAAGTGGATGGACCAAAATGCCTTTAGATGCTTTATCATAGCTATAGGCAGGGCCTTAATGCCTAACCTTGAGTTCTTCATCCAAAATTCTCATCTGTATTGGAGATTAAAATAGCACACGTTTTAAACAGCCCATTCATAAAATTTTGCTTTGCAAATTAAAGTTCAGTTTCAGCTCAATTCAGACAAATGTGAAAACCAAATTAGATAATTTAAACAGTTGGGGGGGGGGAATTAACAAGGTCAAGATAATACACTACAATCTTTTGATGACTTCTGGGTGTATTAAATTGTTCTAGCCATGATGCAAAAAGTTATCTTTTTACTTAGAGATTATGCTAATAAACGTTTAATTCTGTCTTCACATTTGTATTGATCTTACATAAATGGAGTTTGTGGACATGTGTAACTAGATATAAATGTACTTTTTTTTTTTTTTTTTGGTATGTAATTGAGAACTCTAAAAAATAATGTCACAATTTCCCAGGAATTACATGGAATCATCAGTTCCTTGATTTTTGAAGTGCATGGTTTTCTGTCTTCAGGCTGCTTCATTTGTTTCTCTTCTCATTTTCTCTCTGGGCCTGGAACATGCAGTGGTTGAAATGTAATAAGTACTACTAAAGGAGAACATTTAAAAGTGGTTTATGTGTCGGAATGTTGATAGAATAAGTAGAATCAAGGGACTTTGATTATTTTCAGGTATAAAATGTACAGCTACAAAATACATAGCTCCTAATATGAATGACATATTAGGAGGTACAGCTTTGTAAGAAAGGTTTAGACTATAACAAGCTTGAAAAATAAGTGGAAATAAACAACTAAGGAAAACCTGGACTGAGTGACTTTTGGTACCCTCACACTAATAAAAGCATGTTCAGCAACTGGACCTACGTATATATCTTGGCTTCAGAGCAAGCTTTTTCTGAGGAGCTGAGGTCTTCTCTTATTGCCAACAGAAGTAAAACCGGAAAGGAGAAGAAATAAGTAGGTTTTCTACTCCCAGTGTCTTGCTGTGATGTGAAACAAGCTGTAATTTATCATTTTTTTTCCACCAAGAAAACAGAATGGGAGGGACACTATCAATGTGAACATGTTTGTGTTGTCCTTTTATACATTTGCAAATATGGGTTCAGTTTTCCATGTAAGAAGTAGCATTGGTCCCTTGTCTCCTTGTGGAGAAGATAGAGAGCCAAATCTTGATGTTTTGTGTGTAGGCAACAGCATATTCTGGTGCTCTCACCCCCATTCCCACCAACAGTATCTCGTCCATTTGGGATTAGGTTAGTTAACCTGTAAAAAGTATTTTTAGAACTTGGTTTGTATCATCTTTACATCAAACCTTCAAAGTTGACCAGGTTAGGAAAAAGACACTGCTTGAACTATTGGAGCTCTATCGCTATGGTATAATGGCAGTCTTGGAAGCCTGGCAGAGAGAATCAAGGCAGCACAATCTTGAGTTGTTGTTTTTTTCCCCCTTACGCTAACCAGGCTAAGCCAATGTTTGCTTAAGAATCATTGAAATCCTCCTGCATGCTCCTCTATACTTTGCTTACCACCACTAAACTGTGGCTGTAAAATTTCAGTCCTCAAACCTGGACCAAGTGTTCTGGCAAAATGTAGGTTGTGATAATTTTGAAAATCATTATCTGCTGGTGGTGCTGGTTCACAAGAATAGTCAAGCAAATACTAGCAAAACAAAGAGGAAAAAAGTCATTTAGGTTCTGAGACTGTTAAAATAGTTTCACTGCAGTTTTAAATAAATCACAATTGGTTTAATACTAACTAAACTACACAAAGATAAGCCAAAACCATAATTTAAACACCACATAAGCAGGATAAGTCGAAAGCAATAAACCAGATATCATAATGACCTTTGAGTCCAATAACATTATTGTTTTGTAATCTGATTGTCGTTACACAGAGGCCATCGGTAGAGTTCCTAGGAAGTCACTTTGGAGACTTCCGTGTTTTGTGTTCTTCCATCAGTTCACACAATAATTCATTCATGCTTCTTGGTAGAAGTGCTAACAGTGGATGATGATGATGATGATGATAAAAGTGACTTCAGAATTTATCCAGAGGATCACTGTAATAGAGTGCACACTCTAGCATGTACCTTCAGTTTCCAGGCCCACTTATATTTCAAACAGTGAAGAAGGTGGGGGCAGTTGTGAGACTAGACTGAAGCTGCCATAATCTAAAGATGAGGCAGGTATGTAAGCAGAGAGGACAATACCCAGGAATCTTGTCAAAAAGTTCCCTTTGGGGAGGTAGGTAAAAAGGAAGAAAGACATTAGGGATCAAAGGAGAAATGTCACCTGAAGCAGACAAAGGAGATTGGGCCTGAGTGCACAGAACCCCATGCGCGCGCACACATCCCGTGGACAGCTACCAGACTTGTAAATCAACAAAGCATCAACTTTTGGGGATAAAAGGGATCCTGAAGCCTACCCACTCTTCGAGTCATCCTGAATCCAGGTTTAACAGCTCCTGTCCATCTAGCTAGTGCCTGGCAGCTTAGTTGAGAAGGACATGGGTAAATGGGGATAAGTGTGTGTTTGCGTATGAGAAAGAGCAAATGTACATTATAACCAGTAAAGCTGCTACTTTAAATCAATTGGGTCCCCATGTATTCCAAAAGAACCTGATATGCCTCAGTGTTTGGTTGAAAGTGATTTGTGTGTGTTCCTAATTTTTCCCTGGCTGTTTACCAGGGCTGTCTGTCTTGTCTGTTCTAGCTGCATCTATCTGAAAAACCAGGTAGAAAGCAAGGAGGGTTTACAAGATCCAAATGCCTCAACAGGCTGTGGGTGCATGAGTGAACCTAGGAGTGTGTATAACTGAGACAGTTGTCCTTGAATTCCACAGATTTATTTTTATTATTTATTTATTTATTTATTTATTTAATCAATCTATTATCATGAGTAAATGGTTCCAGGAGTGGGGAAGGAGCTCTGAAAAGCCAGAAGGACAAGGCTAAAGTTCCTATCAACAAGAAATGCCCCCTCTTGCCATTCCAAAGGACATGCTGCTATAGTTACGTTTGCAGACTATCCTTGTTCCTTCAGGAGCAGCAGCTAGGCTGTAAGGTAACTCAGCTGCAGAAGTCTTCCCCAAATCTGACAATAGCATGGAGACTCCAACGTGGCTCTGCCCTCAGATTACTAGAACCCATACCTTTGGAATGGGCTGAAAATGAAACAAAAATATTGAAGGTGGGATTTTCAAGAGGTAAAGATGTTTTTAGACAAGTCAGATATATAAACAAAACATTTCCCTATATTCAATGTGCAGGCAGTGTCCTTTTGATTTTTAAAATATAAAATAGGCTTCCAAAGAAATTTGGCTGTGTTCCCTGGTGTGGCATTATTGGCTGGCACCCACCATATGGGTTCACAACATGAGGTCCTAATCATCTCACGAAAAAGGGTTTCATAAATAAATCTGAATTTCACACCAAATTACATCAACCCATCTCTTCCCCAGTTTCCTCTACTGATAAGAACCATAACATTGGCTCAGAATATTTACTTTCCTATTAAAAACCCTGTAGGAGGAGAAGCAGAATATTGTTAGATGGAGAAAAGGGTGAGAAAGAAATACTGAGCAAGAGAAGGTGTGAGTTGAGGGCCTGATGGAAGTGGGGCACAAGATTAGGGAATCTGGGCTGCGAAACAATGCAGTGGCATGCATGAAAGAAGGAGCAACAAGGATGCAGAGTTACATTTCATAGAGGCCTAAGGTTATCTTTTGGCAGCCCTCCTGAGCCTTTTAAAAATTACTGGCAGAATTGTAACTGCTTTCTTCTGTTCTGAGTTAAATAAGCCCATGAAAACTCTGGTTGTACCTTTTCAGCCACCTATGTACATTTATTCCAAATATGCTGGTTCTGTTTAATATCAAATCTAAACTTGCACACCTAATTATGATGGTTCATTAATGGGTCCTACTGCAATACAGCTTATACAGCCACAAGAACCCTGCCTTTTAAAACAAAACTGAGCTTGGCACTAGCCAATAAAGAACAAGAGGATGCCAATTTAGATATACGATTTTCTTCCCTTAATTTCTTTGGTAATAACTAAAAGAAAGGGGGCTGGGAGGGGGTCAAAAAAGAAGCAATATGGTTTTGTAGCTTCCACCTATGCACTGCCTACTGAATATGCAAAGATGCTCCAGGCCTAAACTGCTGAAGGAATCTTAGGCAGGCACCGCAATCTTAGAACAATGTGTACTTCAACTCTTGATTATTGATTTTATGCCTTACATTTGCCAAATGTAATGTGGCTTAGAACTTACAACCAGGTAAGCCATTCCCTTTCTGCCTCTTAAAGTTAATATATTTGGTATTTTAATGTCTATAACCCGTTGGCAGTATGGAAAATTTTACTGGAATTATTCTTGCACCTGCTGGTCTGTATTTTATTAGAATACAGTTATTAGAAATGGTGCTGAATGAACTAGTGTGTATGTGTGTGTCTCTGCGTTTTGTCTTTTGGCTGCAAACAGAAGGACTTTTGGGGGGGGCACAGTTGCCACATATTTACACAGGATCAACAATAACCAGTTGCTTACTGAGGATCCAGATGACAACCTAATGATAATGAGTTTATTAAGCTTTAGTCATCTGTTCTGTAGAGAAGAAGCCTTCATGGAATCAGCTATATAAGCATTTAATGAATGACTTATTGGCGAAACAGTTTTCCTAACTTGTAGCTGTAAATAGGAGCTTTTATTTCCCTTTTATAATCTGTCGTCTTTTGTTTCCCTTCTGGATAGAAGGAACGTGACTAAGGCAGAAACGGCATAAAGTTCATAGTAATATACTGGTTAATATTGCAAGCATCAGGCAGTCACAGTTTTTCTTACCAAGCTGTATCAGAAAGGCAGAGAAAAAAGAAAGGCAGCAGGGGAGAAAAAGGAAAGGAAAGGAAAGAAAAAGGAGAGGGAAAAGGGAAAAGGGAAAAGAAAGAAG